CTTCTCCCTACAAATTTTTCACATGACTTCTCTATCCCACTAAAAAATTGAAATGTATGGTATCCACAATTGAAGAACATTGATGAAAGCTTAAAGAGGGCTCAGAGAGGTGCTTGAGGGAAGATTAAGATTAGAAAATAATTAATAATGAAAGACAAAAGGATCTCGGTCTTCTTGGTTTATTGAAATAGTTAAAAGAGCTTGATTAAAGGGCACGGGTAATAGGTTCAGTAAGAAATGCTACGCAGAGGTAGAACCAAGAGAGTAGTTTTAGATTAGATATTAGGAAAAAATTCTTTGCTATGAGGGTGGGGAGGCCCTGGCACAAGTTACCCAGAGAAGCTGTGGCTGCCCCATTCCTGGCAGCGCTCAAGGCAAGGCTGGACAAGGTTTCGAGTAACCTGGGGTAGTGGAAGGTGCCCCTATCCGTGACAGGGGGCTGAAACAAAATGATCTTTAAGCTCCCTTCAAGCCCAAACCTTTCTGTGATTCTATGATATCCAGCTATGTTGAAAATTAACTCAAACTAAAACTAAAAGCAAAGAGCAGGTTTTTTAACAAATAACTGTTTGACTGATTTTCAAGTATGATTCCAGGAGGATTTCAGCAGTCACAGAGTTCTTTATAACAGTTATGTTCCACATTCAGACACCAGCTATTTCAGGACATGCTATGGCTCCCATTTGCAAAACAGTCAGACATGATCAGTGCAGTGGTACTTCATGAAAAAGATTGAAGTTAGATTACCAATTCTGCTCTATGTGGAGGTTTGCCAGTATCCTAAAGGATCCATAGAGTTTATTTGTTTACTTTTAAATAGGAGTCATTGGTCACAGAATGTTATTTCCTGAAGATTTAAAGCTTTGTTTCGAAACAGTATTTGGTTGGCAACTTCTAAACTATTTATGTCATCCCATTGTGACTATATAAATGACCTCATCATACAGTCGTTTTCCTTCAAGAGGCATAACAAGCCAACTAGTTTCTCTCTACCTTGTTCAGAGCCGCCTGCCATAAATACATTGTATTTGGTTATTGCTAAGCTGAATTCCAAGCGCCCCATTCACCCTGCTTTATAGCCTCGTAACAGTCTGGGTTATAAATGATTATCATCTCCCAAATGGCAGCAACTAGTGCTGTTACTGTATCCCATAACTTCTCGTGAGAAAGACACTGAAGCAGCATCTGCTGTAGCTTGAGCATTTCATTAGACAGGCTGTTTACTTTTCTCACAGAGAAAAGGCTGAGCCAGGTACTTTAGCCAGATCTATCAGCCAGATAGATCAGCCAGACAAGTCAGACTATTTGAGAAGGATCATTCATGAAAACTGGATAAACTAGAAGGCTCCAGAAGTGTTGCCTGTGCTCCCAAACCCTAAGGGCCGGGTACTCTTTCCTTTATACCGCCAACTAAAAGACTGAGAGACTATCCTTGAATTCAGAGCAAAATATCTTCTCCTGCTGAATTCAACAAACAAACTGACTACAATTCTAACAAGCTGAGTTAAAAACCCAGGACACCCATGTGAGCTACTTTCAGTGACTTTTTCTCCTCTGCAGGAGCACATCCAAAAAGTCCAGTATATGCACTTCATCACAACAGACAAGCAGCCAGCAAAGAATTATCTGCCCCACTGACTCTCACACACCCATTTCTAATTGCTCTTCAGCACAGCTTTTGGGGAGAAAGGACAAGGCAATGTCACCCATTCAGCTTTCTGAACGAGCACAAAGCGTGGCCAGGAGCACCATAGCAGCACTATTACGATTACAGTCAAGAGACCATTGTCCACACGGTCATGGTGGAGCACGGGACCACAGCTGGAAGCCAGAATGAGTTGGCAAACATCTTGTTCCAACTTCTGCTGTGCCATCTGGCTTCCAGTGAGGTGACTGACGTTAAATGTATTTTCTCTGTATTACCATCTGGCAGCTGCTTGTACAACAACGGAGTAACATGCAGGATTTGGCTAACAGTTATCCTAAGAATCACATCAAGGATACTTGTAACAGACTTGGAAATGAAAATTGCTTACAAGGAAAATTTCCTTAACTGGTGGCATTACACACACGGAGTATTGCAGGTGGGGAACAGGGAGTGGGAAGTTAAGTATACTTATGTTTTGCATGTGTTTATTTTACATGAAAGTTTCTATGGGAAAGGAGGGGACACCCATGCAGGTTTCCAGAGGACACAAACATTGTAGCCAACAAAATGTCTGTTGAGAAGCATCAGCATTTTTGCTATGCTGTGGAAATACAGTTACTTTTCCAAAGTTAAAGAGATGCAGTACCTTTTTTTCCTTTTTTTTTTTTTTTTTTGTTTTATTCTAGCTGTAATGTTGTATGCCAAAAGTAATTTTAATAAAAGAAAGAAATTTAAATAATTTGTTAGTACAAACACAGTCTCAAAGAGGTGGTACTTAAAGTTCATCTAAAAACATCAGGATTGCCAAATGCAGTTTAACTCCAGTATGAAGCATTATAATAATACCTGTAATGCCAGGCCTTCATCTTTATAAAGGTCACATTTGCAAAGCTTAGGGGCCATAGTAACCTTGCTGAGCTTTAAATGTAACAGAATGGGGTTCTTCAAAATATGGAGTAGGATTTTCAATAAATATGATCCCATGACAGCTTAAATCAATCAATTTTCTACTCTACCTCCTTCTGTGCACTCCTGCCTTTTTCCTTGCTCCTGTGCTGGTGCTCATATGATTCTCAAATAATTTAAATTGAAAAAAAAAAAAAAGATAATCTGGATGAAATAAAAAAAATAAAAAGAGGGGGTTTAGTTTTGTTGCCTGTTTTGTGTTTTTTTTCAACTGTAGGAAAAGTAACACTAAAATGCCAGAGGTTTGGCAGAGTTAAGCTGAAGTTATTAAATGTATTTTGTCTCTACTGTCTAAGAAGAACATTCAATAATTAAACCTCTGCTACATTTCCAGGTATTTCTATAGATTAGATGTAGGATATATTAGGTCTCATAAAAAAGGGTTTGAGTTGAGATTAGATGAAAGCAAAAATGTCTGTTTCCCAATGCATCAGCACTTCTGCTGATGGTCATCCTCCTATGCATTTTATTGAAGCATAACAAGCATCAGCTGGAATACTTGTTACACTATTTAATCATCTAATGCAATAGATTGTTATCTTTGATAAATTTCTAAAATTCACTCTGGCTTCAATTTCTCACAGCTTTTTCACAAGAAAGCAAGAAAAAGACGACGATGTGCTCAAAACCCAACGATACGAATGCAAACAGAAGTATGAGGAGTTTTGACTGCGCTGAGAGAGAAAATTGGGAGTGAATGGTCAAGCCCTTTGTCAATAATGCAGTGAGACATCGGTACAACGGGATCACACAGCACAGGGCACAGCTCTGAAGCGCGGGTTTCCCGCTGCAGACACTGCAACAGTAATGTATATAGTCCAGTCTGTACACTGCAATGTATAATACAAGAGTTATTTTATCCACACTGACCTTGCTGTTTCCAGGAACTACAGCCTCCACATCTTTGGCTGTTGTTGCCCTTGAAAATTACCAGGAGCACTGGACAGATAGTACACGTTGGCTCTCCCTCTACTAAATTTGAGGGCATTTCTGCGTCACAAATAGAATAAATTGTGCTAAAAGAGAAGAGGTGTCGTACAGTAACTCTTTGTTTTACAAGTGTAAAGTGACCAGTGTTCTCTATAAACCCCAGTTTTATGAACACAAAGTTATTTATGCAGCTTATAGGGACTAATGATCATCTGTTCCTGGTAATTAGAGACTTTTCAGTTAATATGTTCTTCTCCCCTTTGAAATTAAGTTTAGTGAATATGCTTATCAAATTTATGCAACTTGGACCTCAAAGCAGCTTATACACTCCTACTACAAGCTAAAAAAAAAACAACCCTAACTTTATGTGACAATTGTAAAAAGAAAAGGCATCCTTAACACAAAGGACCTGAGGAAGAGTGCTGTGTTGCCCTAAACTGTGCTTAGTGATAGAGGCAAGAATCAAGATACCACCATGTCCAAAAATGCATGAGCTAAAGGACAAGCAACACAAAAGCAGGGCATAAATTATTCCTTTTGCTTATTTTACCATGGTTCCAGGTACTTCACTACTTGTTACCCAGGTGATGCATCTTCCCACTGGAAGTCTGAGTCTCATACTAATGATTAGCACATGCCTGAGTAATTTTAGCTGTTTTCTTGCTTGATTTTTTCAGAGCATGTATGTATGTGCACACATTAAGACCACGCATAACAAAATTTTCTCTGTCAGAATCAGATTAAAAATTTACTTACAGGAATACATGTAGTAAACCAATAAATTATTCAAAATAACTGCGCGCTTCAACAAAATCAAGTTTTCTCCTTACACCCAGTCCTCTTTATCTGTATTTTAGTAAGATACAGCACAGTTTGCTTCACTTTTTTTCCCTGTTGTTACCCCAGAACATGCTTTCTCTTTGCTGCTTTCCTTACTTGGACTCATTCCTTCCTTTTTGCTTTAGTCTTCCCTATTCTGACCAACCATTTCGTGTTTTAGCAAGTTTGACAACCCTTGGCTATTTATTTATTCAACACATATTTTCAGAGATAAGCCTAGAATAAACTGTGTATTCTCGTTCTAAGAAAACCAGGAAATTATACCAAAAATAAAAGTTCTGAGAGGTCACAGAATTTGATGCAAAGTGGGCAAAGACTATCAGGGGATTTGTAGCCAAAAGCAACATTTGCTACCAGAGTTTTTAGTCTGCTTAAAGCTGGTTGCATTGATAGAGACCAACCCTGGAATTTTAACTTCTATTATTTTGTTTGTTGTTAGTGCAGTGTCATTTTTCCACATGGAGAATGCAAAAATATGAATAATTTGAATTCAAATCATCCATCTCTAATCTTTCTTAACTCAGGTAAGGGTGGCAGTATACTAGTTTCTGTAGATTAATATAGAATGGGAACTGCACAATGTCTAACTCTTTGCTTTGTTATTATTAACAAAAATATAGAACTTCAGGCACCAATTCTGTAAAAATCCAACATCTTGGATAAAAGATTACTAAAAAAAAAAAAAAAAAGTCTTTATATCCAATACTGATTGCCATTTGTGATGTGAATGAAGCATTTCCTGGCTTTCATTTTCACATACTTCTGATGAAAGCAATAGTACAATATTAACACCCTATACCTAAATGTCAAAGCTCTTCTTTGTGGTTTTTGTAATATTTTGTTTAAATATCGAACTGCCACAAAATTGAAATCTGGAAATGCTATGTTTAAGTTCTTTCCTTTTACCTTCATATTGTTTATAGCACAGCCATAACTTTTGCTATCAAGCCATTTGCTCATTTTGGTATAGAATAGAGTGAGCAAATATTGGTTATTCAGCTTCTCAAACTAGACTTAGGTCTTGGGCACCCTGGGTTGACTTTAAGATGCTCAAAGTGGTTTAAAATGGACCAGCTCACACACTGGAAGCTCAACTTACTGTACATTCTTGCTTGAATTCCTGCCACATTATACTTCGGATATGTTCCCAGTAATTTAGAGCCAAATACCTAAGATGAAAGGAGAATCTAGAGAGGCCTACAGGGACCTGAGAACCTGAACCCAAAAGGCTTTTGTTGACTCTGAATCCTTAAAATTGGCTCTGCCACCTTTGTTCCCTTTCTGCAAAAGGCAACTGCACTGCCTGTGTCGACGAGACACTTGCTGCATCTGGGCCTCTACCCATCTCCAGTCCGCTCCCTGAGGCCAGGGATGAGATAGCCAAGCCCTCAAGCAGGATGCCATTCCAGATACAACTGTTCCCAGTGCTGTTGTGACCAGAGAAGGCAGTTTCTGGCTCTGTATGTTGATTACTGCACCACCCTACGAGGCTGCGAGCTGTCCAGAACAGGCATTTACAAGGCAGTCTGATGGCTGCTGAATTCTCTCCACTGGGAAAGAACAGAGAAATGCAGCCTTACTTTTAATGGCAGTTTATCCCACTGGATGTTAGGATGATATAGCTATTTAAGGAATACATAATTTATCTGTTTAAATTAACCAGACTTTTAAACAAATACTTTGCCTACCTCTTTCCCTTGCCTTGCCTACCCTGCTCTTGCAAACCCTTGCAAGCACAGTGTAAGGTTGACCACTCTTGAGATGGTTCTGTTGAAAAGTGATGGTTCAAAAGTGACCAGCTCAGCAGGGTGCACTTCCACATCTAGTTAGTTTTGAACATGTGACAAGTGACTACAGTTGTAATTCCCACTCTTGCAGAAGGCAAAATTGCTTGCTTCAAAAAAATACAACCTTGTGGATGAAAGCATCTTTGCACATGAAGTTGGGTTCTGAGGCAGAATTGTTTCAGGAGTACAGATGTGTCCAGACCCAAACTCCTCCTCCCTCTCTCCATCTCTCTCTGTTCAGAAAGGAGCATTGCACATACAGCCAATGCAAAGTGCATGTCTGTCTTCAGCTGTCCTGGGAGACTTCACATGATGTCAGACCCCTGGTGAACCATCAGCTGGAGCACTTCTGAGCCTGGACAGTCTTTCTTTTACACTCCAATTGGCAAGGCAGAGCATCTTGCCAAGCCTTCACCCTCCTTAGCCCATGCCAGGTGATTTCACAGTGAGCCAGCAATTACTCAGACTGACATGTGGTCAGGTCACGTGTCAAATAAATTTATCTCATTTACAAGCAGAAGGTTCTTCAGTGAATAATTCAGGAAGAAATAATCACCTTCATGGTCCATTTTCCCAACCCCAGGCTCCGTCTCTAACAAGCACCTGCTGAACCCAGCGAGACATTTTGACTACAGAATTAACAATTTGAAAATCAGTGTGTACACTGTGCATGCAGACATCCCCCCCAGGATTTTACTGACTGCTAAAGGCAAACAGCAACCTGTTGGCCCAACCCTCAGTGAAATCACATGAGGTTTTCCTGTCGACTTAAGATGGAGCTGGACTGACTCTAATCAACTGAACCCATGGAGTTCATCATTCACAGGCTCTCATCATCACAAGTAAAATGACTGGGTTTTTTGAAGCTGCTTATTATTTTCTTGTTACCAGCCTTAGGGAACACTATGATATGGCCCAGCAGATCTAAAGCTAAGGAAGGTAAAGTTCTTGTCAGCAATGTTTCCTTCATCCCTCGTTTTTTAAATGAGATTTGCCATACTTCATAAACCCATGGCTAAGTCTGTTTTCTCCTCATTTATGCATGAATCTCAATTATAAAACTATTAAGATTGTGGAGAGAACCTATTTCTTCATTTGTATAATACCCCATTTGTATATCTCATGGGTTACCTTACCTTGTTCAAATGAAACACCTGAAATTTTGGTAATTAGTTTACGCAGAATAAAGATAATTTGTGCCAAATAGCAATTCTGAAGAAAGTGTTACAATGTAACCTCCCCCCGCAGTGTGCTTTTTCATGCTGAGAATGGCCAGTGAGTGCAGTGTAATTGTAACATCCAGTCCAAATCCTCCTATATCTGAAGGAGGTCAGGTAAGACCAAACACCAGTCCATTTTTTCCTAGCTACATCAGCCAGTCCAACAATATTATAATTCCTCCCAAACTGTGTCTGAAGAATAGCAATGTTCTTCAGGAGGAATGCAGGAATAAGCTCTAAACTTTCCACTCTAAATTATGTAGTAGATTAAATAGACCTATAGATTTTGGCTTTATGGCAAGAGGCACAACAGAGAATTGGTTTTCTGTATAACCCTAAGCTGTTTAACTGGCCATTCTCAGACTTGATGTCTCACTTGTTTCAATTTCCAGAGTTCACCACGAGACTCTCTGTATGAAATTGGGCTCACAGCACAGTGGTGCCTGAACTGAACAAGACTTTGAGACATCTCAAGCTACAACCCTGCCACTGCTCTCATTCAGCTGTGAAAGGAAGGCGAGTGTGCTCTAGTCAACTTGAGCTATTCCCCAATAACCTCAAGTGAAGAGTGCAGTCCGTACATGAAAAGTATTGTGAGCATTAAACACTTTGCCTGTTTCATCGTTACATAGAACACAATGCTTAATTAGCTTTTGATTAACACTGCCATTAGTGTAAATTAATATTAACAAGTAGCAATTATTCTCAACATTGAGAAAACATTGATGAAACCGGTCCCCCTATCTGGGTATGACAACAGTACCGATACACACAGACCAAAAGCTTCATTCTGAAAATTCAGTGGAAACTGGCACTAAAAGCTGGAAACCAGCTCTGGGTTCAGGTTTCACAGATTGACTTTACAAAGTCAGTCAAAGCCTCCACGCCTGAACGTTTATTCTCGCACATGTATGTAGATCTAGATCTCAGTTTGGCAGTTTTAGTCCACTCTGGAATTACCAAGCATGATGACATTTCATTGCCAATATAATTTTACAGAGGCACTGGTTGTTAGGATACAGCTTTGTTCACCACAGTTAACCACACTGCCTCCATTCATCATGCACCTACCAGACCATAAATCTGCTAATTAAAGAGAGACACATCTTCGACTACAGTATTTGTACAACAACCTTCCTCCCAGGCACAGATTCAGTGATATTTCCTTCACTGTACTGTGTCAGCTTGATGTTTCCTCTGGTCACAGCTAATTAGGACTGAGTGAGCTATGCTATTGTAGCTCTAAA